TGATACCAGATGGCGCTAATAATATACCGGGCTTAATTGTGGCGCGCAACAATATTTTTGATTTATTATTTTATAGTACATAGTCTGTTCAAATCATAAACTTGGTACTCACCATCTTTTTTAATTCGAGTTACAATCCTGTTGCCATACCTGACCTTGCATTACTATATTGCAATGGGTGATAACGTACCGGACACTTCTCTTCTTCAAATTACTTTATTAAGTCATACAATTTTACGTATAGCACTATGTAGTACTTTCCCGCGTTTATGTTCCATTGTTAACAGGATGTAGATAAAATAATAAAAGAAAAACACCAAATAACGTAATATAGTCAACAAAAACGCAATAACTAATAACGCAGTATTTATAAATATAAGGTGCCGGGGGTTTTTATTTCTAAAATGCCACCATGTTTTTAACTTCCCGCTAAGAAAATTGAAAATTTTCAAAAATAGGGAAGTTATTGGTTTCACCCCGATTTTCTAAAATCGAGTTTTCATCAGATCTCGAAGTTTTGAGACCCCAGGAAGCTATTCTGACTAATTTGACGTGGATGTCCGTACGGATGTATGTATGTTTACATACTTACACACACACACACATACAATATGTAACGTAATTAATGCACACCCTCAGACACTCCAATTAGTATATTATTGTTACGAGCTTGAGGTTCGTGACAATAAAATTTGCCGATAGAATTACCAAAATCCACGAAACATCCAGAATATTCAAGTAAACACGCGCAAGGGGCCGAGTGTTCGAGTGTCGACTTCTCTAGAAGTAAGCTTCTAAGCTTAGTTCTTCGTTCCGAGACTAGATGGCGCTGTCGGTTGAAAGATTAGTGATGTCATTATCTGGAAAGCTCCCCTCGGTCTCGTCCCTGACACTAGATGGCGCTAGTGCCGGATACATGACGTCGATTTATTCGCGCAACATTATGTCATAATCATAATACATACACTGAATTTTTAGTTAAACATTTTTATGCACTAAAAATATTTATCAAATTAGTTATACTAATTCCGGAAGAATGTCGTGGTCACAGTACAAATCCACGACCGCAAAGACTTTAACGTGCTTGAAATAAAGTTCATTTTTCTTTATTTTTATTGAATGACAGAATTAGTAATAATACAAATAAAACTCCACTCTTAAAAGTTACTTATTGCCTTAAGTTACGGTCCATTTCAGTTTGTTTTGACTACAGATTTAGTGTGACTGTAATTTACGTAGTTTTAAATATTTTTGGGATAAAAATTACCTATATTAAAATGATAGGAATCGATTCAGTAAACGATTCTGAACAAACTACTTTCTCAAAGTGCGTTAATTATGTTACATGTTGTATATGTGTATATGTGTGTGTGTGTGTGTGTGTGTTAAGTATATAAACCTTTAATAACTTTTGAACGTCTTGATCGATTGAGATGCAGTTTGCGGCGTTCTAAAAATCTCAATGTGCAATAGATGTGGTGATAATATGAACTGATTCGGACGAGTAGATTTTCAGAAACAAAATTTGAAAAACTGTTTTTTTGGAATAACTTTTAAACGGCTTTACCGATCGATTTCAAAAACTAATCAGCTCTTTCCCTCAAACAATGACGTCAAATGACGCTGTTGGTGGAAAATAAAAATCGGTTCATTCATTCGTGAGATATCAAAGGAGAAAGAATAAAAAAAACGTTATTTTAACATAACTTCGAGATTTTGCAACATAATTTGGTGAAATTTGGAGCGCTTTGCATTTGAAATTAGCGGGAAGTTCCAGGGATGGCCTGCAGGGACAACCAATTTTGTAATGTGGTAGAGCTATGCTGCAGTTATATTAGTAGTATAGTTGCAACACAAATGGGTCGGCTCGACCGGGGGAAGGACCACCAGGACAGGAAAAAATACTAGCTTAATGCTGCTGTGTTTCATATGATGTAGAGAACCGGAGACCGTTTTTACTGGAAACGAGGCATTCCATCTTAGTCCTCACGGGTGACAACGCATCTGCATGATTCGTAATCGACGATAGATGTAGATGTCTATGAGCGAGATGTCTATGAGAGTGTAGAGAACCGGAGACCGTTTTTACTGAAAACGAGGCATTCCATCTGAGTCCTCACGGGTGACAACGCATCTGCATGATTCGTAATCGACGATAGATGTAGATGTTTATGAGCGAGATGTCTATGAGAGTGTAGAGAATCGGAGACCGTTTTTACTGGAAACAAGGCATTCCATCTTAGTCCTCACGGGTGACAACGCATCTGCATGATTCGTAATCGACGATAGATGTAGATGTTTATGAGCGAGATGTCTATGAGAGTGTAGAGAACCGGAGACCGTTTTTACTGGAAACAAGGCATTCCATCTTAGTCCTCACGGGTGACAACGCATCTGCATGATTCGTAATCGACGATAGATGTAGATGTTTATGAGCGAGATGTCTATGAGAGTGTAGAGAACCGGAGACCGTTTTTACTGGAAACGAGGCATTCCATCTTAGTCCTCACGGGTGACAACGCATCTGCATGATTCGTAATTGACGATAGATGTAGATGTTTATGAGCGAGATGTCTATGAGAGTGTAGAGAACCGGAGACCGTTTTTACTGGAAACGAGGCATTCCATCTTAGTCTTCACGGGTGACAACGCATCTGCATGATTCGTAATCGACGATAGATGTAGATGTTTATGAGCGAAATTTCTATGAGAGTGTAGAGAACCGGAGACCGTTTTTACTGGAAACGAGGCATTCTATCTTAGTCCTCACTGGTGACAACGCATCTGCATGATTCGTAATCGACGATAGATGTAGATGTTTATGAGCGAGATGTCTATGAGAGTGTAGAGAACCGGAGACCGTTTTTACTGGAAACGAGGCATTCCATCTTAGTCCTCACGGGTGACAACGCATCTGCATGATTCGTAATCGACGATAGATGTAGATGTTTATGAGCGAGATGTCTATGAGAGTGTAGAGAACCGGAGACCGTTTTTACTGGAAACGAGGCATTCCATCTTAGTCCTCACGGGTGACAACGCATCTGCATGATTCGTAATCGACGATAGATGTAGATGTCTACGAGCCATAGCAACACATACCATCAGGTGTACAGTGTGCTCGTTTGTCACACTATACTATAAAAAAAATGTAAAACTTGCTATCTGGCAGCCTTCCCTTTCCTACGACTCTGCTAACTGGAAATCTTTGTATATGAAACAGTGGGGTTAAATGTATTTAGTTTACTTATAGTCTCTAAGAGTGATACTACTACCTATTTTTAGTACCCTCATGTAAGGAGTAGTAAATTGAAGCCAATTACTGAACTTGAATGTGAATTAAAGTAACAAGATATTTTTATTGAACTTAACTTTTGCTGAATAAGAATAGACACTTTAAAAATATTTTATCATTCTTTTTCAATTACTACGAAATTGAATATTTGATTATGTTAATACTACATTCAAAGTAGAGAGTTTCTCTCCTTTACTACACAGTTTTTTACCATATTCGTTAATGTTATTGATGCTACTAATTTTTTTTTTATGTAATAAAGGTTACGAACGAGCACCCATTTCAGTTAGGAATCAAAATGTAGATGCGTTACCACCCCTGAGGACTAAGATGGAATGCCTCGTTTCCTGTGAAAAGGGTATTGGGTTCTTTACACTCACCATACGAAACACAGTGGTATAGAGCTGCTATTTTACGCTGATTTTCTGTGAGAGAGTGAGTGAATCATTGCCTAGTCGAACCGACCCATTCGTGCTATAATCATAATATAACTGCAGCATGGCTCTACCACATATAAACACTACATATAAAGGAATAAAAATAAATATATATGGACAGTGCATTAGCTCGAGTATGTAAACTTACATAGTCGGTATTTATTGGGATTTCAATACCTGTTGGTTAGGGGTATTGAAATCCCAATAAATATTAAAAGGTGTCGAGGTAGACCGAGACTAACTTTCGAAGACCATGTAAGCAAATTGCTCGAAGAGGGGAGGGTCAAGAGTACTCGGATACCTAGACGTGCATGTATGAAGAAGTTAATGAACCTGAAAGAAGCGAAAGAGGTATGTAAGGATCGTGACACTTGACGATCTGTTCTCTCTGGCTACCCCGTTAGGGATTGTGCGTGAAGATAAGTAAGTAAGTAAGTAATACCTGTAGGTCAGAGCTCTGGGGCTAAGCGTTCGCCTTAATTTTCAAAGTACGTGAGCAACCAGAGTTCGATACCCGCCGCCACTAATGAAATTGTTAATTGGAGTTTTAAGTGCTAACTTATACATGCTCGGCAGTGAAGGAAACCTGCATGTCGCCAACACGCATTTGTGGCAGCGCGGCGGGCGTTTCTTGGCCCTAAAACCCTCTCAGAGATGAGAGGAGGCCTATGCCCAGCAGTGGGACGTATATAGGCTGTAACTTAACCTAAATACTGTAGGTAGGAATCTACTATTAGACTATGGTCAATTTAATTGTTGCATATCGAGTTTAAAAAAAAATTTAAATAACGAACAAACTTACATTCCACCTGAAGGTCAGCGGTTACTGTGGTCTATAGACATCTTGATCGCTCCTCGATTAAATATAAAAATGCAGATGCATCGTCACCCCCCGAAAACTTAGAAGGAATGACTCGTTTCCAGGTAGAAAGGGTTTCATTTATTTATCATTATGATCCATATGTATTAGTAAGTAATTTATAAACTAAAAAAAACATTAATTAATTATAACTAAATTAATTCATATACCTCTGCCCACTCTTCACACTACTCCGATCCTCTATACTCACTATACGAAACTTCTTCTTCTTCTATTAAAAAAAAGTTGTTTTTTTTTCTATTTTTCATTAAGTTATTTTATGCTGGTATTTTGTGAGGCGTGGTCCTTCCTTGATAGAGTTGACCCATTCGCGTGCTACAACCGTAATACGGCTGCAGCGTGACCCTACCACATATAAAAGTCTACGTTCACATCACTACATTTTCAGGTTCCTGCAGTCCAAAAGACGTGATAATCAATATCAAACACGGCTCGTATCCAGCGGTCAATCCAGATGGGTATGATTTTCCGAAGTACTTCGTGGATCCAGCGTCCAGAGAGCACATCCATACGATAGAACTGCTTTCCGACGGCAAGAACAGGACATACTCGATACGAAACCCCAAACCGGGGAACTGGTACGCGTTGGTATATATCAAGTGGGAGGATCCGAGGTCACAGACGGTCGAACAACAAGGTAAACTTGAAACATTATTATTTTTGTATTAAAGCCAGGTTGCACAACGACTTTGACGCGCGAGAATAACATTAAAATATTCAATAAAATTCTTAATTGATTTAATTTTGAAAATACTTCATATTAATTGAGATAAAAATAATTTTACGCTACTACTTAACGGAAAAATTTAGACGTTGGAGTTTTCATTTTTTTTAAGCGATAGTATTTTTCGATAATATAAAAGGCGTGTTATTGAATTAGATTCTTTATTGGCTGTATTTTTATTTAGATCCCTTATTTACATCAATATGATTTTTGTCCACCAAATGCTTGTACGCTTACTTTGTGCTGGACAAATTTGTATGCAGCGAGGAAATGCTCGATTTAGGAAGTTTTTTAGATTTAGGCTGTGCAATATTTAGAATGTAGTTTAAAAAAATGTTTGTTGTGAGAGTGTCACGCCATAAATCTACGTCACGGTAAAATGTTTGTATCATTTCACGGGACTTCAACTTCAAAATGGAAGACAGTCTGAAATTAGGTCGTGTCATTAGTCTGTGACAAACAATTCTATTTTGGAACGCATATCGGATAAATCACGGTCCTCTGTAGAACATATGCCTCCCCTTACATTGTGCCAGCTCCTTCCACATGATCGCATCCAGCGCAGAGCGGTGCGAATCGTCGGTGACCGAGCTCTTTCAGATCGGCTTGACTCACTGGCGAAAAGATTTTGAATATCTATGCGTATTTTATCGCACATCTATTACGGGGAGTGCTCTGAGGAATTGTTCGGACTAATTCTAGCCGCTCAATTTCACCATCGCACATCGCGACAAAACTAGCGATACCATTCATACCATCTGTATGATTTTTCGGTCCACCACTGTGCGATTTACGAGAATAATTTTTGTTTATTCCTCGCACAATTTCCGTGTGGAATCGACGACCATCCGCGAATTTTACGGACCACGAATTAATGGAACTGAGGGACCTACAAAAAAAGAACCTGCTCTTTTTTAAAAGGCCGGCATCGCACCTGCGCACCTGCAATTCCCCTGGTGGTACAGTTTTTCATGAACGGCGGTCGACACTTACCATCAGGTGAGCCACATGCTGGTTTGTCCCCTCTTCTATAAAAAAGAAGAAAAAAAAACATTGCCTAATAGGAGGTTTATCGCAGTTCGAGGTTTTTTTTAAAGTAATTTGAGTTATCAGGCAGAGATTATAAAATATTGTATAAAAGTACACACTGAGTTTACCACTAATTCTTTCAACTATCCTTAAGGCCCGCCGCACACTACATACGGAATTCCGTTTCGGGATTCAGAAACGGAACGAACGGGTCGGCCACACATACGGAATCCCGTTTTGCCCGCAAAATTCCGTACGGAAAACTACCGTAGGTGTGTGTCGGGTTATTGATTTTATATGGACTTGCTGTGTTCGGAATTCTAAATCGGAATTCCGAAACGGGATTCCGTATGTATATGGCGGGCCTTAATGTGCCTGCTGGAAGAAATTTCAACATGGAATAAGCAGTGCCTTTGTAATATGTTCTTAATTCCGTTTTACTATCAAAGTATGTGTGTACATATACTATTAAAATAAATAAGTAAACATTCTTCTGCCCATCTCCCTTAATAATTGACTAATGACAAATTAATTAAAACAATGAAAATTTCTGATTACTGCGCGTATGATGTGCGTTCTTGTATGATAAATGATTATTGATTATATGATCGTTTATAATCTAATCATGCAACGCGGTATCGGTAACATAGGCTATGTAAAAATAAAATATTTACGTCTATACAAATGAATAAAATTTAATTGTTTGTTTGTAATGTCAAAATAACAACGTTTTTACTAAATGCATATGAAAGTATATACGGTACTTATAACAAAGAATACATTAAAAAAAATTGTCAGCCTGTCGATCGGTTAATCTGTCCGTGTGTTGGTTCTGGCTAATCTCCGAAATGGATTGACCGATTTTGACGGGACTCACTGGCAGATAGCTGATGTTTTAAGCAGTAACGTAGGTTACTTTTATTTTAGAAAAAAAAAACAATTAGCGTTCCGCGCAAAGTCAAAACCCATGTAATTCAGCCGTAGGTAATAAATCCTACGCGAATGAAGATGTGGGGAACGACTATTGTATATATGTGAATGTCAGTGAACGCGGTCGTGGATTGGCCTCGTTGTGCACATTGGCTTCATTGACGCCGCTTCCTGTGCCACTCTTGCAACAATTGTAACATTATCCTAAGTACACCTGTCTTGTTGATGCTGTGGATTCTGGATACTAATTCAAGTTTATGAAGTCATTTATTTTATTTAGATCATCTTACGTCCGTTTCTTTGTTTGATTGGAATTTATAGACAAAATAAATTAGATACTCTTTAATTTCTTTGACACTGGCAAGTGATACATTATCGTAAATGGAACACTCAATATTTCAAATATTTAAATAAAACTATTTTTTCGGATTTTACCGCAAATATTAACTTATTTTATATTCCCGACGTTTCGAGCACTTTACAGCAGCCATGGTCGCGAGGGGGACTAAGGTGATTATACGTGGTAGAGCCACGCTGCAGCTATATTATGGTTGCAGCACGAATGGGTCAGCTCGACCGAGGAAGGATCATTCTTTCACAAAATACCAGCGTAAAATAGCAGCTTAATACTGCTGTGTTTCGTATGGTGAGTGTAGAGATCCGGCGAACCTTTTTTACTGGAAACGAGGCATTCCATCTTAGTCCTCACGAGTGACAACGCATCTGCATTTTGATTCGTAATCGAGGATAGATGTAGATGTCTATGGGCCACAGCAACCACTTACCATCAGGTGGACTGTGTGCTCGTTTGTCACCCTATCCTATAAAAAAAATCCAGTAATAGGTATAACTAATTTATTTTATTTTTCATCGAAAAAGACTTCCAGATGTCCCATATAAACTTCAACCATAGTTGATAAGTTGATATAAACAATACATGTAGGTTTACTTTTATTTTAAGTAATCCAGTTGTCGATAAATCTATTCTTTATTTTTTTTACATGTGGTCTTGTAGATTATTTTACGTTTATTTTTTATTTTTTTGGGAATGTTGTACAGAAGGATGTTCCAGACTGTTTTAATTAAAATTACTTTTTAAAGTTATAATTTTAAATAATTGCATGTTGTTTTTTTTTTACTTAGGTACGCATTTATTTTAAAAAGTTGAATTTTAACTTTTGGGAGAAAAACAGTTTATTTGAAAGTTTTTTTCCGCTTTTTTGACAAGTTCTGCCACATTAGAGTTTAGTTGAAGCATCCTTCTTCCATTTCAAAAGAGCTGTGTAAGGGCCAATTTTGAATATAAATATTTTTACTTGACCTTTTTCTTCAGGTCTTGTCGCGGACTGTCACACAATTCTGTACACAGACTTGCAAGTGAAAAGAAAGGAAAACATCGGACTAATTGACTGTTACAGAGGAGTGACTGTAGATTACAAAAAACTGCCAGCCGCTTTCAAATGCATGTCTATTGATAGCACCGAGCCCGTTAGTTTAAACCTAACAATTAAAAATACATCAAATAATAACACGGAAATCCTCTTCAGGGTACAATCATTGTCTTTGCCTACAGACGATAATTACATTATATCATGCTCATTTGATCCTAGGTTGAGCAACGCACAAATAATCACATTTAACCCGTTTCCTAATGCCTGGCATTACGTGCAACTTGATTACGTCGTGGGTAATGCAACCAGATATGCTGATTGCGAATCCTATTATCTCCGTTCAGATCTGGAAGAGGTCGACAACCAAACGACTTTAGACCTTATGCGTGATGATAAAGGCAGATTTTTCACGTTCGATTACGGACTGCCCACGACTGACCTTCAAGATGCCACAAGTTTAGTGAATTTGACGTCAGGCGAAGTGAAAAGTTTGAGGTACAAGGTCAATCAATTTCTTGATATAGGCGGCAATTTGGCTATAGAAGCGAGCCTGCTTATGAGCCTAAAATACTATATGGGGTACAGAAGGGAGTCCAAAAAAGGTGCTCTACTCGCATTTACTGAAGATAACCAGTTTTTCAAAGTTGTTATTTGTTTGGATATCGGACACGCTAGTGTGCCATTAGAAACCGGTCATTGTAAATTTAATGATCACGTGAAACCAGCTCTGTTCGTATTGAACAGTACAGACTCTGAAACGATATACGATAGAGTAATTATACCATACCCTGATAGTGGAACGTGGTATATAACTTTACGGCTATTTTGCGACGAAGTCGTCTGTCCTTGTCCCACATCAGACAATGGGACTAAGTATTATGTGGATCCCAACGCGTTAGACAGAGACGAAGAAGACGATATAGTTTCTTCGAACAACACCCGACAGGGGAATAGTGCGTGCAATGCAACAGCTCTTTTGTCCTTATCGTCCACTTCGTGTTTGGGCGGGAGGTGTAGCAATCATGGCAGCTGCGGACTAAATACCTTTGGAGGTCTGGTGATGTCCTTCTGTTCCTGTTCTGCTGGTTATGGAAGTAAGTGCTTATGGCTTTTGAGAAATTTATTATTTAAGTATTATTTTATACGTGGTATTTGGTACGCCATACTTCAGTTATATTAGTAGTATAGTTGTAGCACGAATCTTTCGGCTCAACCGGGGAAGGACCACGCTCTCACAGAATACCAGCATAAAATATAAGCTTTATGCTGCTGTTGAATAAAACTATTATTTACGGATTTTTTCGCGTTTAATTACTTTAATTTATTTTTATTATTATCCCGACGTTTCGGGTGCTTTACAGCGCCCATGGTCACGGAGGGGACTGAGATGTTTGACGTCCCAATGTCATAGTTAGTCCGGCTACCTTCAGTTTTTTAATATTAATTTTTGGTCCGATTTACGCAAAACGAGCTTATAGTATCATGAAGTCTTGCAGTGGTATGCTTGGGTTTGGGTTTAATTTTGTTAATTATAGGATCCCAAGCAGATGGTAGCACCCAACCATCTTCTCTATTGAAATTTGGATGTTTTTTAATTTCAATAGCCTCGCGTATCATCCTTGGTAGGAATCGGTGTTCTTTTGCGAGAATTTGTGGTTTATCAAACCTAATGTAATGGTGGGGACGATCTTGAACATGTTCGCAGACTGCAGACTTCCCGGAGCGTCGGTGCTTCACATCAGCTATATGTTCCTTCACGCGGGTTTTTATAGATCTCTTTGTTTGACCTATGTAAGAGAGACCACATTCACAATCTAGCTTGTACACACCTGCATCTTGTAGAGGAATATTACATTTGATGGATGGTAAAAATTGACTAATCTTCTTCAGCGGCTTGTAGTATGTCTTAATGGACGCTCGCTTCAAGATGTAGCCAATCTTGTCCGTGACTCCTCTAACATATGGTAGTAGAGCAGGCGCGCGCTCGACTGTGGCCGGCTTCACTCGTTCACTGTGACGTAGGCGCGGGACCCGAAGCTTGTTGTCTTGCAATACTTGCTTGACGTGCTGAAGCTCCGCGGCCAGATGTTTTCTGTCACAGATCCCTCGTGCTCTCTGAAACAAAGATTTACCCACGGTAGCTAACTGTGAAGGATGATGGTGAGATTCACCATTTAAATATCGGTTGGTATGGGTCTTTTTTCTATACACAGTGTGACCAATAGTGTTATCAGGATTTCGGATGACCAAAACATCTAGGAAAGCTAAAGAATTATTTGCCTCTAACTCCATTGTGAATTGTATTTTAGAGTTTATGGAGTTAAGGTGGTCTAAAAATGCAGTTACTTTGTCAGATGGTAAAATTGTGAAAGTGTCGTCTACGTACCGCTTGTAGAACCTTGGATTTACAGGAGCAGTAAGAAGGGCTTTCTCTTCAAAGTCCTATAGCGAAGTTCGCTAATACCATCATGTGCCAAACCACCGATTGTATGGGTTACCGAAGATACACAAACCAAACGCTCCACTACGTCCCATAGTGAGCCAGATCGATTCACCAACTTATAAGCTGGCACAATACTTAGCAAAAATACTATCACCACTAAGAGGACATACCAGAGCACACACAAAGGATTCATACCATTTTGTGAGTGAGATAAAAGACCTACATCTCGCTAACAATGAAACTATGGTCAGTTTTGATGTTCAGTCACTATTTACATGCCTACCTATTGTGGACTGCATCTCAATTGTAACTAGGAAGCTAGAAGAAAATAACATGCCTCAAGAATATGCAATACTACTTGAACATTGCCTCACATCTGGCTATCTATTATGGAAGGAGGAGTTCTACAAGCAAGTAATGGTGTGGCGATGGGCTCACCTGTGTCTCCCATAGTCGCCGACATATTCATGGAGGACTTTGAGGAGAAAGCCCTTCTTACTGCTCCTGTAAATCCAAGGTTCTACAAGCGGTACGTAGACGACACTTTCACAATTTTACCATCTGACAAAGTAACTGCATTTTTAGACCACCTTAACTCCATAAACTCTAAAATACAGTTCACAATGGAGTTAGAGGCAAATAATTCTTTAGCTTTCCTAGATGTTTTGGTCATCCGAAATCCTGATAACACTATTGGTCACACTGTGTATAGAAAAAAGACCCATACCAACCGATATTTAAATGGTGAATCTCACCATCATCCTTCACAGTTAGCTACCGTGGGTAAATCTTTGTTTCAGAGAGCACGAGGGATCTGTGACAGAAAACATCTGGCCGCGGAGCTTCAGCACGTCAAGCAAGTATTGCAAGACAACAAGCTTCGGGTCCCGCGCCTACGTCACAGTGAACGAGTGAAGCCGGCCACAGTCGAGCGCGCGCCTGCTCTACTACCATATGTTAGAGGAGTCACGGACAAGATTGGCTACATCTTGAAGCGAGCGTCCATTAAGACATACTACAAGCCGCTGAAGAAGATTAGTCAATTTTTACCATCCATCAAATGTAATATTCCTCTACAAGATGCAGGTGTGTACAAGCTAGATTGTGAATGTGGTCTCTCTTACATAGGTCAAACAAAGAGATCTATAAAAACCCGCGTGAAGGAACATATAGCTGATGTGAAGCACCGACGCTCCGGGAAGTCTGCAGTCTGCGTACATGTTCAAGATCGTCCCCACCATTACATTAGGTTTGATAAACCACAAATTCTCGCAAAAGAACACCGATTCCTACCAAGGATGATACGCGAGGCTATTGAAATTAAAAAACATCCAAATTTCAATAGAGAAGATGGTTGGGTGCTACCATCTGCTTGGGATCCTATAATTAACAAAATTATATTATAGTTTTATTCAATGTGTAGTGTTCGCGTAAATTTAAGAAATCATTTTATGCTGCTGTGTTTCGTATGGTGAGTGTAGAGAATCGGAGACACTTTTTACTGGAAATGAGGCATTCCATCTTAGTTCTCACGGATGACAACGCATCTGCATTTTAATTCGTAATCGAGGATAGATGTTGATATCTATAGGCCACAGCAACCACTCACCACCAGGTGGACTGTGTGCTCGTTTGTCGTCCTATCTTATATTTAAACAGACAGTATGTTGAAAAAAAAATTGTTTTTCAACATACTGTCTACCGCAATTATAATTAAATTTTAGGCGACAGTAGCGGTAATGGTAAGGGTGTAATGCGAAATCGTAAATACGTAATTTAGAAGCCGTCATTTGAATGTCGTGAAGCACTTCTAAAAATAATTTTAACCTAACTGGTCGTAGTTATCCGAAGGATTGATAATTTTAATGGATAATTAATTCAATCAGGCATTACTTTGTGGAAATACATTATCTTAATGATGTTAAAAAAATAATTAGCGTAGAAAATAACACTCTATACCTGATGACGTCATGTTTAGAGGCCAAAATAGACATGTCTCAATCATGAATGACTCGTTCGTTTGAGCTGGTACACTTAAAAGTATTGATGGATCATTCATCTTTTTTTAAGGGTTCCGGTACAAACAATCACAAAATATTGACGGAATCTTTTTAACTCGTGATTGGCGTGAATTGTGAATGAGCCCAAAACCGTAAGGTACTAGAGCCCGAAATGATTCATTTGAATGATCGATCCGAATGTACCGGTACGCAACGAAATGTACTAGAATGATTCGGTCACTAGAAATGAATGATTGACACATGTCTGGGCCAAACACGGTGTCGGTGGTGAGTCTTCCCTTGTATAGTGGTATTGGTGTTAGTGGTGACGGTGAAAGTGCACGAAATGAAGGAGGGCAGGATGTGCTCTTTAAACTAGGTAAGAAACATAATTTTTGAATTTTTTTAACGTGAATCTTAGCAAATTGCTTTTTAACATCTTTAGCGTTAATAGCATAACTATAATTCTTTTTATATAACAAAAATCGTTTCTCTTTAAGTAGGCTATATTCATTACTTGATGAATAAGCATTGTTGGATGGTAATAGACTTTTGAGAAATGTTGGTATCTCTAACTATGAAATAATTAGATTCGCGTTGTTTTAGATTGCCATTTTAAAAATTAGATACAAAAAATAAAAATATACCGTTATTGCAGTTTTTAAAAATACGAGTGAAATAAGGCTTCTACTTTTATTTGAAATTATCCCAAATTGAATGTGATTTATGGGCAACAACATTTTGCCAACCGATCGACCCTTACGAATGTGTGTGTGTGAGCAATGACAATCAGTTAAAATAATGTATTACCACGCATTTTGAATTAAAAAGATAAAAAGGACAGAGTGTTTGAGATTTTTTTAATTTTATTTATTATTTTTCTTCACCATTTGCCTATATATAGATGATCAGTAAATACAAGCATAGTGACATTCAACGGTATAGTATCTGGCAGTAAATATTACATATCTATTGTAGACTAAATATGGCATTGTAGAATGCCGTCTCTGTCACTAATACCTGTGTACTACTCGACGGCTAAGACATCATTTGAACTAGGTTTGAGAATACCAAATCACCAGAACACTAATTGATACATGAATGTAGTTCGTATTTAATACATAGTAGTGACTTGTGTTATTGTATTACCATAGCCATAAACACTCACGCCTGTCACTCAGAGAGGTAGGCAGAGACTACAGACTTCCATTTGGCACGATCCTAATACACCTCTCTCGACTCCATATTCATATTCCTACGCATACATGCTCGTCGGTTAAGGGTACTCCTAATTTGGCCCATTTTCAATATATCGCCAATTTGGTCGATAAACATCCGTTCATGTCTGAGACATAAATTTGTTTTGTCACTCTTTCCTAATTCATTCGTTCTACGTGACCAAATCACTGTATTATTTTATTTTTATGTGTGGGGAAAGATATTAGTTTCCTATTTACCGTTACCGCTACAGCCTATTAAAGTTCAGTTCAGCCTATTAAAAATATAACAGAACGCGAGTAACCCGGGTTCGATCCTCGCCGGCACCAATGAAATTGTTAATTGCAATTTTAAGTGCTGATTTACCACGTGCTCGGCGGTGAAGGAAAACATCGTGAGGAAACCTGCATGTCTGAGGAATAAGAAAAAAAATATTTCGAAGAAATGTTACACATACAGCCGTGTAGTGGCGGTTGAGAATATCCACTACCCCATATCTTCCCGTGGGTGTCGTAAGAGGCGACAGAGGGAGACAGGCAGGAGATGGGCAGCAGCATCTTCCTGATAACAACAGTGTTATAATAAAAAACTGCGGTTGCCAACCCGCTCGCCAAGCGTGGCAACTATGGCAAATATCCCCCATGATTAACGACGCAAAAAAACGGCCCCCAGTCCCCGGCGGCCCCGCTATTCCTGGCTACGGTGGCGACCATGGTAACGGCGGGGCAGGGGGTGCTAAGAATCTCCGGTGGAGGTTCGGTTGCCACCTACGACGACTCGACCTGGCAACATATAACGCACGCACTCTGAGAACTGACGAGAAGATACTGGAGCTGGAAGAAGAGGTAGACAAGTTGCGCTGGCATATTATTGGATTATCCGAGGTCCGAAGAGAGGGGGAGGATACGGCAATCCTCGAGTCCGGCAACTTGTTCTAGCACCGGGAGGGCGACCATCTGTCCCAAGGAGGTGTCGGATTTATCGTCCACAAGTCTCTCGTCAACAACGTTGTAAAGATTGGGAGTGTGTCGACGAGGGTCGCGTACCTGATACTCAGAATCACCAAACGGTATTCGCTGAAGGTCATACAGGTTTACGCACCAACCTCGGCACATCCCGATGAGGAGGTGGAGGAAATGTATGAGGATATTTCCAGAGCCATGCATTCCTCCAAAACCCACTACACGGTATTGATGAGAGACTTCAACGCAAAACTAGGCACAAGAGAAAGCGGTGAGCTGAAGGTGGGGAAATTTGGAGTAGGGCAACGGAACCGAAGAGGCCAGCAGCTGGCCGACTTTATGGAGAAAGAAGGACTCTTTATGATGAACTCTTTCTTCCAGAAGCGGCCCCACAGGAAGTGGACCTGGTCGTGCCCCGACGGTTCGACAAAAAATGAGATTGACTTCATTATGACGACCAGACGCCAACTGTTCAGTGATGTCTCAGTGATCGCAAGGGTGAAAACTGGCAGCGATCACCGAATGGTTAGAGGCACACTGAACCTAAACGTTAAGTTGGAGAGTTATCGTCTAATGAAGTCAACGCTCCGTCCCCCTCGTGCTCTAATCCAGAATCCCGAAACCTTTCAGCTCGAGTTACAAAACCGCTTTCAGTGCCTAGAGGATTGCAATGCAGTGGACGATATGAATGACAAGCTCGTGGAAACTGTCCATGCGGTCGGAGCTAAGTTCTGCAAGACCTGCCGCAGAAGAACACAAAAACTCTCCGATCACACTCTTAATCTTATGGCTGTTAGACGAGAGATGAGGCTGCAATCGTCGACAGATTTGACAGCATACAGGCAACTGAACAGACAGATCTCCAAATGCATGCGGCGAGACTTACGTAACTGTACTTTAATACTGTTCGCATTGAAGAAGCGATCGAGCGGAACCAGGGCTCCAAAGTCTTTGCCAGAGATCTGTCTGCCAGAAAGAGCCAACTGTCAAGGCTGAAGACTGAGTGTGGCAACATCGTTTCCGGGACACCTGAGATTCTGAGTGAGATTGAGAGGTTCTATGGGCAGCTGTACACATCATCGTTGGAGCCACACGCAAGTGTGAGTAACGATCCAAGAGCAAGTCTTATCCGACACTATTCCGATGGTATCCCGGACGTCAGTCTGAGCGAGATTAGAATGGCTCTCCACCACCTTAAAAACGGCAAGGCCCCGGGCGAGGATGGAATTACAGCGGAGCTTCTGAAAGCGGGTGGAACACCGGTACTTGAAGTCCTTCAGAAGCTCTTCAATTCCGTCCTCCATGGTGGCACTACTCCGGAGGCGTGGAGCAGAAGCGCGGTGGTCTTGTTCTTTAAGAAAGGCGACAACGCTCTCTTGAAGAACTACAGACCGATTTCCCTTCTGAGTCGCGTCTACGTGCTGTTTTCGAGAGTCATTACGAATCGTCTCGCACGCAGACTCGACGACTTCCAGCCTCCCGAACAAGCCGGTTTCCGAAAAGGCTTCAGTACCATAGACCACATACATACCCTTCGGCAAATTGTACAGAAGTCCGAAGAGTACAATCTGCCACTTTGCCTGGCGTATGTGGACTATGAGAAAGCCTTTGGTTCCGTCGAAATTTGGGCGGTGCTACAGTCTCTTCAGCGGTGCCTAGTTGACTGTCGGTATATTGAAGTGCTGAAGTGTTTGTACAGTAGGGCTACGATGGCTATGATGGAACCAGAGTACGAAACCTATCCAACTGCAGAGAGGTGTAAGACAGGGTGATGTTATATCCCCGAAACTCTTCACCGCTGCGTTGGAAGACGTTTTCAAGCTACTGGACTGGAAAGGATACGGTATTAACATCAATGGCGAGTACATCACTCACCTTCGATTTGCCGACGATATAGTCCTTATGGCAGAATCGCTGGAGGACCTTAGTACTATGCTCAATGACCTCAATGGTGTCTCCCAACGGATAGGTCTTAAGATGAACATGGACAAAACAAAGATCATGTTTAATGTCCATGTCACACCTATGCCGGTAGTTGTTGGGAGCACTATTCTCGAAGTTGTTGACGAGTACGTTTACCTGGGACAAATAGTCCGACTAGGTAAGTCCAACTTCGACCGAGAGGTCAATCGACGGATTCAACTCGGCTGGGCAGCGTTCGGGAAATTACGACACATCTCGTCGGGTATACCTCAAACTCTGAAAACTAAAGTGTATAACCAGTGCGTGTTGCCAGTGATAACTTACGGATCTGAGACGTGGTCCTTCACCGCTGGCCGTATGAGGACGCTCAAGGTCGCTCAGCGAGCTATGGAGAGGGCTATGCTCGGAGTTTCACTGCGTGATAGACTCAGAAATGAGGATATCCGCAGTGAAACCAGAGTGACCGACATAGCCCAACGGATTAGTAAGCTGAAGTGGCAATGGGCCGGCCATATAGCTCGAAGAACCGATAACCGATGGGGAAGAAAGGTTCTCGAGTGGCAGCCTCGTACCGGTAGGCGTAGTGTAGGACGACCCCCCACTAGATGGAGTGACGACCTGGTAAGACATGCAGGAAGTCGATGGATGCAGGTGGCTCAGGACCGTGCTATGTGGCATTACTTGGGGGAGGCCTATGTTCAGCAGTGGACTTGTGAAGGGCTGTAATGATGATGATGATGATGATGATGATGTGAAGTTCGCCAACACGCATTAGGGTAGCGCGGCGGACACTTCCTTGCTCTAAAACCCTCTCAGAAATGAGGGGAGGCCTGTGCCCAGCAATGGGACGTATATAGGGTGTAACTTTACTTTTTACTTTACTGAAAATAGGCCTCCCCCATATATTGCCTCATAGGGGGGTTATTTGACATAGCTGCCATGCTTGGCAAGACGCATTTTTTATTTTTAGTAGTTATTAGGAAGATGCTGCTGCCCATCTCCTGATCTGTTTCCCTGTATCAACTCTTAAGACACCCACGGTATGATGTGGGGTAGTAAATATCTTTACACCCCCACTACACGGCACTATCCTACGGGTTTCCTACTTAGAAAAATAAAGTTATTAATTGGTAATATTTAATGTATAAAGTATTGCGATATCTATGGGCCCCTTTTAGGTCAGACCGGGATCTGTTTTAACATATTGTATTATAGCGTGAGATTATATTTATATGTCTGATCCCTGATACCTATACTGCTAGTCTGTCGTACGTGGCAATTATGGCAAAAGCTTGTGTCTTGCTAAGAACTGTTTATAGACTTAAAAAAAGAAGAGATGAGAATTTGACTGGGTTATCCTAAAAATTAAAAACTAAAGTTATAATCAATATACGTCCTACTGTTGGGTACAGGCTCATTTCTAAGAGAATTATGAAGTAAAGAGTTCGCCGCGTTTCACTGTCTGTGTTGGTAAATTTACCCGTGTCTTCGAAATGCGTAGTTTTCTTCCACAGACGTGCAGACTTCCTAACGATGTTTTCCTTCATGGTGTATTAAATCAGCACTTAAAATTGAAATTAACAATTTCATTTCTATCGGCGGGGACCGAACTACGGGTTACTCGTATACTGTTATTTTTCCAGCAAGCGTTGACCCTCTGAGTTACTACGGCATAGGCATTTTATTGTGAAAACATCGATTCTTGGTTAAAATAAATGTTTTTAAACTTTCCAGGTTGGGACTGTTCAGACGAATCGAGAATGGACAGCCGGGTCTACATGCTTGTCTCCGTCTTGCTGCTGACGCTGAGCAATCTCCTTTTCTTTTTCTCTATCTACGTAGCTGTCATCCGCCTCTACTACACAGAAGCAATGATGTATACCTTCACTATGGTCTTCTCTACTTTCTACCACGCGTGCGATGCGCCTGCGCAAGTCGCTTACTGCATCACCCGAGGTAATATACTCCAATTTGGGGATTTCTATTGTGGCCTTATGTCTTTCTGGGTGACACTATTAGCCATGAGTATAATGAGCGAGAAAGTTAGATCCTCCTTTCAGCTGACTGGAGCGATAGTTATAGCATTACTGACGACGTGGAATATGCACTCGTTTGTCGCTTTCTTACTGCCGGTTGCGATCGGAGTCACCGTACTTCTTATCTCCTGGTACATGGACTTCAGAAAAAGGCGCTGTCTAAGATATCCTCGCTCGTATTACACAACGTTTTTGCCGTTAGGCATTGGTCTAGTCTCCGTAGGTCTAATTTGTTACGCATTTTTACAGACCGAGCAAAATTATAAAATAGTTCACTCCTTTTGGCACATGATAATCGCTGTCAGCGTTGTGTTTTTATTGCCGGATGTGAAAAGGAACGGCGCTAATGCTTTTTTACCCAGCCCTGATTACTTTAAATCGCCATTTTGTAGAGTTTTCGATAGATCGCAAACACCTATTCCTACTGATTGAATTTACAAAATCATTATCATTTGACGAAATACGACACCTTTATTATTGTGTTAGATGATTCTAGGATTATTATTAATATAGTCAGGCATTACTTTGCAGAAATCCATTATGAAAACTATTTAAAAATTAAAAAAGTTAAACAAGTAAGTTAAAGTAAAAAAGTTGGTAAAAATTACATTAAGCTGTTGTGAGCGAAGTAATTTTTACCAACTAATATAGGATATAGGATTATTAAGCGTCAAAGACATATGGCTTGAGTAAAATATTACATAATTTTAACAATTAAAAAAGAAATCTTAACTTTGAAATTTTATAAGCTATTTTGTTTTGTTCTTTTATGAAAATAGAAAGGACAAAGATTCAGTTAATTGAGAAGTTGTTATTATTATTACTTCTAAATGACATACCAAAGAATAAAATATCTGTGATCCTTTAAGTGTATAATAGATTAATATTATAAACTTCCTTAGAAGAGTGAATTTGTGACGTCGTTCCTGCGGGACTGCACTGTTCGACTTTAAGCTACACACTATTCTTATTATTATTATTCATTTTGTCGCATATTTACCTTTTATAATCTGTTTTTTTTTTTAATATTAATAGCTTTGTAGTTTTTATTTTTGGCCAGATAATTTTTATTAAGACAACTATATAAAAATGTTTGAAATACGCAAGTTCTTAAATCACAGTATAATATTACGTGTTATTTATTCCTGAAATAATGTGATTTTAATAACATGTTTGCTTTTCCCGCGTTAATTGGTGCAGTTTTAGCAGTAAACCAGGTATAGTTTATAAGTCATAACTTGTAGGTATACGTTAGAAGAGGTTCAGATCAAACTGTGGACTCTTGCGGGATGATGTTAAAGCGTGGCGTTAATTTGAACCCCATAAGTGCTGTCAACGATTTAAAATAAATTTTCTTTATTAATCGACTTCAAAAAGGAGGAGGATAGGTACTCAATTCGACTGTATTTTTTATTTTTTTATGTGTTACCTTAGAATTTTTTTAGTTGAACTAATTTTGATGATTCTTTTTTTATTTGAAAGCTGGTGCTTCTCATGTAGTTTTGAGTTAATAATACGTATTTAATTAACTTCGACTACATTGACGATGTTCTCATTTTATTTTTATTGAAGTCTGTTGTAGATTTTTTTAATATTACCACTTGTTTTGCTGGTAGTAGGTACTGCTAAACTAAAATTAACTTATTTGACATATTGTAGCATTGTGTGCGATTCCACCAATACATTTTATCGCGTGTAGTAAGAGGCGACTTTAGAAATGTTAGAAAGAACTCGTCGTCACGTGACTTAACATTGAGATATTATGTCATTCCCATCTATTTTATATTGTAGTTTTCAGTTTGCGTTAGTGGATATAGGTCTACTTGAATAACTCTGCTTTTAAAAATGCGAACGAAGCCCGTGAACGATTAAACTATTTCTCTTTTTAACCGAATTCGAAAAGGAGGAGGTACTCAATTCGACTTTATGTTTTTATGTTGTTACCTCAGAACTTTTTTCCAGGTGAACCGATTTTGATATTCTTTTATATTCTTTATCTGAAAGTTGGTTTTTATCGTGTGGGTCCATATAAATTTGTAGTTTTTGAATTATCCTTAATAACGCGTATTTAATTTACTTCGAATACTTTGATGATGTTCTCATTTTATTTATATTGAAGTTGGTTGTACAAAATTTTTACCTAATTTTCCCACTTGTTTTTAACGGCTCCATGGCGCAGCAGCTTAGCAATGTGTTACGGTGCGTAAGGCCGCGGGTTCGAATCCCACTCGAAATAGGTATTTTATGGCCTACAAGTAATTGTTTCAGGTCTGGATGTTTATTGTTGTGCAATTTATATATATGTAAACTGCCTCCACGATTTAGTGGAAAATCCTAGTGTATGGTGGGTTATGTTTTTTTTATACATATAAAAATTGGCTACCTCCTACCTTGCCATATTTTAAAAGTTTATACATTTAATTTTTTTAAGTAAGCAACAGCACATTCACTCCATACAACCGATAAAATAACATGGCCGTCTTATTAGTTCCGATTTTTATCACGTGCAGACTTATTGTGTACGCACTTTATAACTCTAGTCATTTGAACAAACAATATTGTTTGAGATATCTTTGTCCATTAAATTTTAAACTTTAAACACTTAACTTAATTTTGTTACTCAGTTATGAAGTAAACATAATACCGATAAAGTTGTTTGTTGAGATATAAAATAATTTAAGTACAATTTTTATGTATGATTGAACCATGCTGTAAATACTCGAGTCAAGGTTTTACTTTTCACTAAGTTATCGGTATTTTCGAAATTATACAAAAATAAAAGCGCACAAATCGTTCGTACGATTTTTTAAGATAAACATAATTGTCATATATGGGAAAGATTGAATAAATTCAATGTAATTCACATTTTACTAACATATATAGGAGCAGTTAAGGATTATACTGTTAAACTCACTCTGAATAAAAATTCAATAATTAGAAGTGTTATATAAGAAAACATATTCGAATTTTCTTGGCTTATTATATATATTAATATTCTTTTCAATTATAACATTTTTTTAATTGGTTAATAAAGTTTCTTTTTACCTGTCTTACATAGAGTTATATTTTTCGGTTGATGGATTTTGAAATGCGCTATTACGTTATATTCGTATCTATCTCGGAGACTATATTATAAGGTAATACTATACTTACTTTACTACTATCCTAATGTTAAACACTCGCTGCCCGCGGTGCAGTAAATTTGGGAAGCGGGACGCCGCCTTTTGTGCTTTACGTCGAACTGACGGGCCTTACGGCAGGCATAGTGACGCATTACTGTCGTGTCGATATGTATATTATGAAAAATTAAGTAATAAGCGGTTATCGATAAGTGAAACACCGTCTGTCCCATAGAATACTATAATACATATATAATAGAACGGGGGAGTGGGCGGAGCCCGCGTTGCCACTAAAATGTTACTAACACATCAATTCACACATATAAACGTCAACACGAGATGTGTTTTGACGTTACAATCGTTTCCAAATTTCGCATGCAAATTATTTAGAAAATGCCAAATTGCACCCTATTTACAAATAAATATGTATTAAATTTTAATGATGATCTTGAACATTAATCAAAAGTCTAAAATGTGTAAATTTACTCAGTCTGTCAACACAGCGAATCGGGTTTGGCGACGCTAATCCTCGTATAAAATAAAGTTCACAGCCATTCTATTGTGTATTATAGTATTCTATGGTCTGTCCCTAGCGCACCGATGACTTATGGCACCGCGGGTAGCGAGTTTTTAACATTAGTATAACACGACTGTGAGGAATGCGTCATTATAATATGGCATTACTTTTCGTAATTAGAGTCCAATAACTACCAACAAAGGGTTTTAAGAGTCTTTATGGCTGTTTAATGTATTCGGCACTTTTTCAGGATCGCATTCGTTTCGTTTGGCGCATTTTATTACACTTTTGTTTATCCATTCTTAATATAAAATATAAACTGGATATATCTGCAAAATTGCAGTTTAATAATAATAATTAGTGTACTATATTTGTTAGTAAGTTTTCGTCCAATGTACTTGGTTTTACCAACTAATGCATAATGGAAGTGTTTACCTAAGCTAATAAATGTACGCTCATATATTTTAAGGTCTAGACGACGCAACGCAATTGTCAACAGTAGAAGTTTTCAAAGATAAACGTTTTGTAATCACCACGATAAATGTTTTTTATTATAAATATATGATTAAATTGAACTTTGTATAAATTTAGACGACGTAGCCAGTAGCACTGGCGGGGGTCGGATAATGGACTCGCCAAAAACCGCCGTTTGGGGCACTCCACAATAGGATAGAGATTCTAGAATATTGTTTATTCCAAATTTGTAGAAATAGTGGCTAGTTTTTTCAACATTGATTGTAATTTTATTTAGTTTCTCATCGAAACCTACCTCATACTAGGATCGTATACAATTTATATGGGTTATTAAACTGATTCAATTATGGAAGATGCATATGCTATATAAGTAAAGTGCTCGGTGATGGGTGTTAAGTTCTTGCGTTAAGTCTTTGCGTTATAGCATGGTGCGCGTGACAGCTTACAGTTTGGCGTGTCTAGAGATGGAACAATGTTAAATCGATTTAAAAAAGGCGATTATCGATACACAAAGCAAAGCAAACATTATCGATTAGCTATTGATATAAAAATTAATACTGAAACATATATTTCTTTATAAACTACAATGCATTTAAAATTAAGTTGAAGTTTAATACAAATTATGACAATAGTTACACAATAGCTGTTCCCGCGACCTCGCTCGCGTGCTGTTTATTACGACTGGATTTTATAGGTTTCAATGTTTTTGCGCGGAATCCCAATACATTTTCTAAAATAAAAGTAGCCTGTGTTACTCTATATAACCTCAGCAATCTGCTAGTGTCAGCTATAAGCTGGAACAAATAGACAAACAGACAATTTTTAAAAATTGTGTTTGTCTTTTGTTATAAGTACAGTATAAACTTTCATATGCGTTTAGTAAAAGGCTGGTATTTTGAAATTACAAGCAGACAATTCAATGTATAGATATGTACTAATTTGAAAATAAAAATTATCTTATATTTCGTGTTAATTACAATATTCATATTGACATTTAAACAAATAAAATGGCTGCCAGCATCTGTAATTTTCAGTACGGCGTTGACTGCACCGGTAACTTTTCAAGATACGCGTACTAGCGCCTTTCTCTATGTGTGTATTAGTGTTGCCAGGTCCAATGGGCTAAATATCGGGACAGAAGGTAAAAACTAGAGATGGAACTGGTTACCGGTGTGGAACCGGTACCCGGCGGATCCGGCACTTTTTCAGGAACCGGCCGGGTATCGAGTAATGGTGCCGGATATCCGGCACTGCCGGGTAATTAGGTCTAAGATAAAATTAAAAAAAGTTATTTCAAAAACGGGCATTTATTTTAAATAAACATGAATCAGTCGAAGAATTAATATTCATAATTCAAAAGAGGTAAATTATGGTGAAGAAATACAAGTTGTTCAGCACGATCCGTGTCAAGTCTGTTGCGCTTTTTCTCATAGATATTACCAGCCTCCAAAAAGCAGCGTTTACTATTTACAGAGCTGGCGGGAGTGGTTAAATATCTAATCGCGAGACTCTTTATTATAGGGTAGTGACCTATATTATCGGCCCACCACTTATAGGGATTTATGTCTCTACGAGGCCTTGCTGAGTTGAGATAGTGATCTAATTCGGCCGCAGCTGACTTTTTGGAGGAGTTATGGTTAATTTCTGATTCTTCAGCCGCCTCTCCAAAACAGGCCCAAAACAAATTATGTGTTTCAGCATCCAATCTCGACCTCTTTCCTGCTGGTCCTGTTTCGATATCTGATTCCTCGTCGTCCATGGATATTTGTAGAGCTTCCCTTAAAATGGCTCTACGTGCATTTTCAGTTTCATAAGAGTTATAAAAAAGGGCTTTGTATCGAGGGTCCAATAAAGCTGATAGTAAATAAGAGTGGTTTTCGTGCATCGATACAGGTTCAAAACGAACGTTCAAATTATTTTGCAGAGACTGTCTCAGTTCCTCAACTAGTTGATTATGTTGTTTTAACTCCTCTTTTTGTAAATATCTCGACAATGTAGTGACATGCGGAATGACATCTGAAATTGAGGAATACGTCGAGCTAGTAACTTCTTCAAACGGTTTCAGAAGCATGATCAACTGCTGCGCGATATCCCACTGCTCACTTGATAAATTATCGAAGTTCAAGGATTTACTTCTAGATTCTGAAATGTAGACTGAAATGTCGTCTTTGTTCAATCAGTCTCTCTAGGAGGTAATATGTCGAGTTCCACCTGGTTTGAACATCTTGGTGCAACTTATACAGGGGTAGGTTCAGATCAGCTTGAATTTCATGTAACTTGGTATAACCAGAATGGTTAAAGTGCGTCAGTATTCTTCGAGCAGCTGTAAGGGTTTCCACTACTGATGGCTGGGCTTTCATAGGATTAATAATGACTAATTGAAGCGTGTGAATGAAACATCGCACTGAAGGGAAACCAGTATCTGTCACGCCTTTCGTCGTGTTGGAAGCATTGTCATGAACAACAGCACAAACTTTTGTTGTAGCGATGACCCAATCAGTTGTACATTCTTGCGCAGTATGAAATTCTGGGAAGTGTTTAATGTTGAGAACTACATGATTTAATGTGAAGTCCTGTGATAACCAATGCCCAGTGCAGCTTATAAAGGCGAGGTTGTTAATTGAGCTCGTCCACAAGTCTGCAGTAAATGCGATGTGTTCAGCAGTTTGCAAACTAGATTTTATTTTAGTGACAACCTTTTCATATATTTCTGGAATTATTTTTTCGTTGAAATAATTTCTGCAAGGTATTTGATACTTTGGCAAAATGTTATTAAATAAACGCCGAAACCCTAAGTGACTTTCAATCATTGTGACTGGCTCATTGTCGACGGCTATCATTTCTCCAATAAGATAATGGTAACGTTTTGCTCGGGAATCATTTATGTCCTAAAGCTTTTTCTTGTCTAGGAATTCTTCCAAAGATGGTTGTTTTGTGTCACGGCGTATTTGTGAATTTTGTAATACGTTTAAGTCAGAGCCTGATTCACATTGAGAAGGAGAGTTACTTACAGAACCATAAAGTTGTTCATACTCCACCTTATGTTTGAATTGCAAATGCTTTTTAAGGGAAGAAGTTCCAGCCTTTCTTCCTAGTCCTCCACGAGACACATTTACTTGACACAAATTACACTTAGCAATTTTTTCATCTTTAGTAAAATAGGTCCAAACTGGTGACTTTTTCGAAAAAGTTGCCATAATTTGTTTTCACTCAAATAAAATAACTGTTTATTTACGTTTTTGACAACTTCACTGTATGAAAAATAGTTAATTTTTGAGGTTATATTGTACAAAATCAAAGTTATCATTCCAAGCGCGTAAACAAATAGTGGCAAAATGGCAGCCTGTGGGTAGTTACATCCCCTCTCCTTCCTAACTACCGAGCGTCCGCCGGCCGGCAAGGCTTGACCGTCAGTCTCAGTCGCACCCAAACTGGGACGTGAAATGTATGTCTTTTCATGCCGGGTACCCGGCTACCCGGCATAAGCTTGCACCGGGTACCCGGCAAATGTAGGATCCGGTGCATCTCTAGTAAAAATTATCGAGAATTTGGTTTTCAAACCTAATTTAATAAAAAAAATAGGTTTTTGTAGCCAAGTATTTTTGGCACATTTATAATTTTTTTTTGTTGCCTAAGCTGACCTCGAATCATTTATCGTCCATTTATTGGCAACACTGCATAATTGTCTATGTACATTTTTTCCGTAAATCAGTATTTGTTGAACGATTAGTTACAATTCCAATAAATATTTACGTGATTTTTATATATTCGATTTATTTCAAAACCGATTCTTGATAGTCTTTGTTTGTTCGTTATGTCATGGCATAGTTTAGCGTGCCACATCACTCTCGAATGTGGGCGGTACCCATCTATGAAGTACAACAATATCTGTATGACAGTTTTTCTAAAAAAATACGAAACTTCATAGGCGTAAGCTGTCATTCGCACCGTGCTACAACGCAATATTAATTAAAGGGTGCGTTTGGCAGAAAAAAGCGCTAGCAAGCGCTTGTAAGCAAAATGGCGATCGTAAGCGGTAAGCGCTGTCAAATCGTAAGTAGCTATTTTCCTCTAGGACACGAAGTTAGTTTTAACCGGGGAACCTAACCTAATTTAAATATATGTTTGTAAAGTATTCATATTAAAAACTTACCAATCATGAATTTTTAATAACATGTATAATATGTTTCTTCATGTATATGTAGCATTTAAAACTAATATTGCACAAAACAACTTATAAACTCTACTTCAAAACAAACAAATTAAATAAGCAAAATGGCGGACTGTGTCAGCGCTACTGAAGTTAGCAAACGTGTCCTGGCCGAAAAAACTGTTTAGTTTCGCCATTTTGATTACAAGCGCTTGCTAGCGTTTTTTTCTACCAAACGCACTCAAAAAGAAGTATAGTCTATGATTCATTGGTGTTGTTTAGCTCTGTGTACTCTTCACATAAATTTAATATTTATTATAGTAAAATAATGATTACATTATTCTTTATATAGACTGTGTTTCTCCAGAAATGCAGCCGTTATTACGCATAATGTGATGTAAAAATCTTGACAATATTTATAGGGAATCACTAAATAGATCTTCTTATACATGTGTTAATGTAAAATTGCCCTATAATTACTACATCATTGTATGCTTTGTCTTTCATATTGTTTAAAGCAAAGGAATGCAAATAATTATTTGCCATCATCTCTTTCCATCTAATATGAACAGGCTTTTGTTTACCTAATGGTCGCCACACACGGTCAGTTCAACTGATCATTTCAACTGATTGGTTCAAACTAGAACTTTTGATATTTTTTTAAATTATTACTTATAACCATTTATATATCGAAAATACTATATTTAAAAAAATATCAACAGTTTTAGTTTGAATTGATCAGTTGGAATGATGAGTTCAACCGACCGTGTGTGGCGTCCATAAGTCCGTGCGTTTTAGCATCATTGGCAGAATGACCACGTACGATCTTGTGGTATAGTAGCTGGCTAATATTAATTTAAAAAAATCATACAATTTGAGTTTGTTGCTTTAAAAGAGTCACAAAATTTTGTCGGTTTTTTAGTTTTATGTCACTTTTTGTTAAGATGTTTATTAGACTACGAGAAGCTATGAGCGATTTTATTTACTGCCATTCCCATACAGTTTTAACAGAATATTTTGTTTCGACATCTTGAAAAGGCTATT